ATATATATATATAAATGCATCATGTTAAACATAAAGATTGTCTTGTCATCTTTAGGACAAATTGAGAAATCTTCACAATATCTAAATAATTAACCGATTGTGCAATCAAGGGAAAATGAAAATGCCTTATTCTAATTCTAAAGACATCATAAAATTTCCTGTGAATTGATCATGCCTACTATCTTGTTGAAAAATGAATGGCAAAAATAATATGCTCTGATGAAAATAATAATAGACAATGGAAAACTACATGATTGATACATACCTTGGAGACTTTGTTCTAGCCATTTGGATTGCTTAGTCCTGATGTGGCTTGCCCACCACCATGAATATGCATTGGTCGCTGCCCTTCGCAACATTTTTATTTTGTGCAACAATCAAACACATTCAACCCATTGAAACAAGACCTCGATGATGAAGATAAATGAAATCAACAAGGTGGTACAAAGAAAAACAAATTAAGGCGCACAAAATGTCGTATTAGAATAGCTGCAATTTTATTGATGATCTTGAAAGAAATCTTGGCCAAAAGAGAAACAAATGTCGGTGAAATTGCCTTCTTATGGGGCAGACATGAAGAGGAGGATACTTCGCCACAATCATTGGTAATCCAATGTGTTGTATACTTTGAAGAACAAAAGTTTTGGAGGGCTTTGCTAGAATATTTTTTCAACTCATTAATAATTTTTTGAAGTGCAATCTATTAATATCTAATGTTTTTTTTTCTTTTTCCTTTTTTCTCTTTCCCAGTTTACCCATATACAGTCTAAGAACAATCTTGTTTTAGATCTCTTTTAAAATATATCTTTTATATTAATATTTATATAGTTTTTTTTTAAATTATAACCTAAAAATTACGTTATCTATTCTTAAAAATTCACTTTAAAATGTTTATTTAAAAAAATTATTTTTATATCTATTTATTTTTTATCATAAAACATTATTATTATTTTTAAAAAAAATATTTTAACCCTTCTTATATCTTTTTCTTCTTCAATCCGTTTCTCTTAGCCAAATAATAGAATCGTCAACTACAGTGTGCATAATACTCTCCTTTCACGGACAACTTGTCCCTCACCACCACCACCCCTCCGTTGATTAAAATTTTCCTTTTAATCAGTTACATATTACTTTTCTTTTTCTTTTTGAGTAATAATTTGTGTCATAAAATTGCATATTAGGTTAAGTATTTTATAGAATGTTAATATTGAAGGCTCGAAATATATGAACAAATTGTATGAAATAAAAAATCTAACATTTTAATTATGTATTAAATTGAATAATACAAGTGAAATAATTAAAATAAAGTTTTAATACTAAAATTTTAATAAAAACATAGTAATTAAAAAGTATGTAGAATCTTTTAATTACATTTGATTTTATTATCCTAAACTAAACTAATTAATAAGCAAAGTTTTTGAAATATAAAATGAAAGGTACTTCTAAGAAACAACGTAAATAAAAAGTGGAGGGATCGATGACAAGTTAAGTGAAAATGTATAATGTTTAAAGAAAACTTCAAGGGAGTAAACACTTGTGTCCATTGCTACGAGGGGTAACCGACCTATTTCCTTAAAGGGGATATAAAATTTAGGATTTAAATTATAAATTAAAATTCATATACTAAGATCGAGTTAAGCTCCAAAATCTACTTTCTTAACTTGGTATCAAAGTAAATCAGATACTATATCTTAACAATTATTTATTATTGTTAGACCTATCATTTCATCTATTATATGGTTGTTATCGTAATACCTACAAATGTTCAGTTCACTTCACACTCGAAATGTCTAGTTCTTAGTGAAGATGTGTTGAAGATCTCATATCGATTAGAGATAAATATATAATAATGTATATAAGTGAGAAGTAATTCTCACTTAACAAGTTAATTTTATAATGTTGAGTTTAGGGGATAGATGATATGTATTTTTATTACTAGTCCATTACTTTTATTTTCTAATTTTGAGTCAATTTAATCTCTTTGAAACAATAATTATTTTCACTTTTGAAACATAATTTTAAATTTTTTTTTTTACTAATTTAAACCTTAAAACTCGTATCGTTAAATTCAATTACATGAAAACTATTAAAATAAATGAAATTCAAATGAACAACTATTGTAACCATGGTAAAAATCACATAAAAATAAGTTTAAAAAGTAATTAAAAATTAAAAAAGTCTAATTTCACATTATTTTCTAGTTGTTCGTGTAATATTTTTTTTTACATGATTTTCACTTTTTTATAACTCTTGGATTCAAACATTAGCTCAGTTTTATAATTTTCATATAGGTGAATTTAATATTACAAGTTTCACATCTTAAAGCAATCAAAAATTGATTCAAAATCATGTCTCAAAATTAAAAATTATTATTATTTTAAAAAAATTAAATCGATCCAAATATAAAAGATAAAAGACCACAACTAGCTACCTCCTCTTAATAAAACAATATTTAGAACAAAAACTATCAAGATAATCAAATTTAATCTTACCATACATTTTGATGTTTCGATCGTCTATCCAAAAAATGACTTGAATAAAGCAAAACTAAAAGGTTGAAATGCTAAATTTATTGTGAATGTTCTTATTGAATATTATTTATGAAACCATATCAGTACAACTTTAGGTGCATAAGTCTCTCCAAAAACACTAAACAACTGGAAAAGTAAATTAAAATTACAACCATATTACATAAAACAAAAGTTTTAGTAGAAGTTGAGTTTTATAAACGAAAGCAAGAGTATGATCCAGAGAGTGGTGGCACCATTGAATGTGATGTTGGTGAATAGGATGGTTTCTTAATGTCTAATTATCAAGAAAAGGAGTAGGAGCAGGAGAGTGGTGGTGGTTGTGACGGTGGTGGTGTGGTGAGTGGGCTGGTGGGTGAATATGATAGGTGACTGGAGTTTTCTCAATAGAAAGAGGAATGGAAGGTGGAGAGCTGTGGTGATGTGGTGGGTAAGCTTTGTGGTGGGTAGGAGGGTGAACTGGCTCCTTTATTAAAGGGATGGGAGCATGAGCAGGAGAACGGTGGTGGTGATGGCGGCGGTGGTGGTGTGGTGGGTGAGCTTGTTGGTGGCTAGGAGGGTGATGGTGGTTGTAATGTGGAGGGTGAGTTGGTTGGTGAGTAGGAGAGTGGACATGTGGCTTTGTTAAAGAACTAGGAGCATGAGCTGGAGAATGATGGTAGTGGTGGTTGTAATGTGGTGGGAGAGTTGGCTGATGAGTAGGAGAGTGAACATGTGGCTTTTTTAAAGAACTAGGAGCATGAGCAGGAGAATGATGGTGGTGATGATGGTGGTGGTGGTGGTGGTGATGTGGTGGAGTTGCAATTGGAGAATGAACTCGCGTGTGTAAAGAAGTTTCAAGTTCTTGGGCAAATACAGTAAAAGAGCTCACTAAGAACAAGAATAATGTTAGAAATTTGGCCATTGCTCTTTCTAGTGTTTTTTAGTGAGAGAAAGATGTTGGTGTAATGTGAAGCCTTAGATAAGACTCTAATTTATAGAAGCAAAAATTAACACTTATTCTAACTTTTAGTGAAATAAAATTAAATGGAAAATCCATTTTGCCCATCATTTAAATGGAAATTTCAATGTTGATTACAAAAAGTGGAAATTGTTTATGTGATATGGTTGACATTTAAAATAGTGATTAAGGAAGCTAATTAAATTTACAAATAAAAATAAGAAATGATAAATTATTTAGGAAAATGCTTATAATAATAAAATAATTCTTTTGTAAATGTGATATACTAACAAGGTGAAGTTCTGGATTGGTAGATTGATTTATTCAGTAAAAAGCTCTTATAGATTTCATAATGTTGACCTTTATATTTAAAATCTCAAATAGATTTTGAGAATGTTGACTTTTATATTTTACTATTTTATTAAAATCAAAATTTAATAATGTCCATTTAAGTTCAAATATTATTAGATATAATATCTTTTTCATAAGTTAAAGTGTTTTTTTTAGTGCAATCACCTAATTAATGAATTTAGACTAGTATTGTTTTATTTTTAATGTTAGAAATCATGTTTCAATACAATCATCTGATCTTTAACGAGATAAATCGTATTCTGAAATTAAACTATTCAATTTCCTTTTGGAAAAAAATGTAATTAATTAGTTATATTCAAATAAAGTGGTATAGGTAATGTGAGAGTGGGATATAGGATTGGAGTAATAAAGAGAGATTAAGTTTGCATCTCCCCAAGTAACAAATTATTAATTACTAACATTTGGTGATAAAAAAAAGTAATTATATTCAAATAAGTATTGATTAATTTAATTGCCTTCCTTGTGATGACATTGACCTCGTTATAATATAGTTTTCCCTATTTTACAATTGGAATTTTTATGACTCTAGTTAATGATATTGGGTAATAATAAAATAAAAATTATAATAACTTATATGTTTTTCTTTATGCATATTTTTATTTTAATTAATAATAATCAATATCTAATATCTTTTAATTTTTCTTTAATAAGTTACATATTCTTTTGGGTAATAATTTGTGTCATGAAATTGCATCTTAAGTGTTTCACAATGTTGAAAGTGTAACATCTTTTTTTAAATAAAAAAAACTAGAATAATTAAATATTATAAGGAAAATATTTTTATTAATAAAATATAAATGGGAGAGGTAGAGTAAAGGTTTTGGGTCAAATTCTGGGCCCAACTCAAAGGCTAATTAAAAAGAAGAAAAGAATGAACGGTTCTTTGTGTGTCTCCACAAGCCTAGAGCATTTGCAAGAGAAAGCCTAGAAAAGATCACTAGAGAAGGCACAAATTAGTGGTTGGAGCTACAAGAAATGAGTTGTTTAATAGGATTGCCACTCTAGGTATAGGGAGAGCTTATTAAATCTTTTGGACATATATGAGGGACAAGGGTAGATGGGCAAATCTTAAGCCCTATAATTGTATGTTCAAGTTGTATTGTTGTGTACATATACAATTGTAAACCTATTGTTACTCTGTTTACGAATTTGGTATGATGTTTTGATTAGTCTATTTGAATGATGAGTTTGTATATTTCAAAGGGTAAAATTATTCATATATGAAATTGGGGATTTGAATTGGGAGTGGATGAATCTTGATGATTTAATGTTGTAATGATGTTTATTGAGTATGGATAGATCAAATGACTGATTAGATTGTAGATGGAAGCCTTGGATGTGTTTGTGTGTAATTGAGGAAGAAGAGTTATGTAGATTATGATTTTGCAAATTATAAGATCTGGGACTAAGCTAAGCGTGAGGACGGACATGCCCAACATGGGGTTTCCAAAGAGGTCTAGACTTCTCGACATTAGGCGTGAAATGTTGCGTCCGACACCATTTAACATCGAATTTATGAGGAAGGTAACATTGGTCATGACCCAGATCATGCCAAGCTAGATTGAGACAGAGAGATCCCAAACCTTGCAACAATAAGCGTAGGTAATCACATGTTAGGCATAAGTTTAGTAGAGAGGTCCTTGACCTTTCTAGGCTAGGCACAAGTTCGATCTTGTTTGGCACTATAACTTTTATTTTATAATGTTATTCTTTTACAAATCAATCAATTTGAGAACATAAGAAAAGAGATTAAGATAGAGAATCAATGGAAACAATCAATAAGTAATAATGTGTGAATAATTGATTAAAACAATGAATTCTAATGTACTAGTATTGATGATATTGTTGAAGTAATTATCTCGAAGGGTGATTGAATTGATGTGATGATACATATTATGATGAGAATTATGATGAGACGAGATGGATAAGTCCAGTGTTGCAGACTAACACATGAGATGAGCCATTGAATATTGAATTGTTGTGATCTAAATGTTGAGTCCATGCATTCATATTTTGTTTGCGAGATAGTGCAAGTTTATGTAGGTGGGATACATAGGTCATCTACCTATGCCCGAGGAGGTGTCATGGTGGGAAACTTCTAATGGGAATGGAAGGGTAACATAACCAATTGTAACACTTTCATTAAATCCTTATAGATATCCCCTAGTGAAGGTGGTTCGATGGGGACCACTATTTCTGGGTGGTCACATTCCATGACTCCTAGGCTATTCAATATTGATGATGAGGAGGAGGAAATTGGTACCATATGCATATAGAATTAGAAACACGCATTGCACGAGTCTTAAATTATGATTGAGTTGTATTATATGACTTGTTGATCATAAATGATGAATCTATAGCAATGGTTATTGTAGATATATGGAAGAATGCCTATATGTGAATGAGACGTTATTGATGTTATAGATGTGTTTGTCTACCTTTGTGTCTTATATATGTTGTGTATGGATGATGTGTATTCTAACTCTCGACATTGTATGTTTGTGTTTCGGTTGAACGCAACTTGTATGATTAAAACAAGTACAAGAGGATGTGTTTAGTGAATGAGAGGTCCAAAGAGGGTTTTTGCTCTTTGTGAAATCGAGGTAGTGTTCTAGTCTTAGTAGTTATTTGTATTTGTTAAATTTCTATTTCAACATGTTTTCTTGTTAGAATTGTGTTCAAATAGGTAGTTTTGCCTTACTTTAATTTATACATGTTTTTTTTGTGTGTTTTCATTCGTTTAATAAAGTTATGAAAAAAGTATTGTGAACTCTCTTATAAAGTGTTTCAAGTTTAGAAATTAATTTTTATCTTATATACTATCAATTTTAAATCATTAAATTTCTTATTTAATTATTTAGGGTGGAAGAGTGTCACAAAAAGTTTGAAAGAATATATGAATAAATTGGGTGAAATAAAAAATATTACATTTTATTTAAATATTAAATAGAATAATACAAGTGAAATAATTAAAATAAATTATTAAATATTAAAAATTTAATTAAAATATAATAATTAAAAGTATTTATAATTCTTTAATTATAATTTATTTTATTGTCCTAAACTAAACTATTAAGCAAAGTTTTCAAAATATTAAATGAAAGGTACTTCTCTAAAATAATGTAAATCAAAAGTGGAGAATGACAAGTCAAATGAAAATGCATATTGTTTAAAAAAGATTTTAATAGAATAAACAAATGTATTCATTGCTAGATAGAGATAATCAAGTTATTTCCTTAAAGGGGAATATAAAAATAAAAATATAATTATAATTTTAAATCAATATAGTAAATTTTATCAATAAAAAATCTTAATAATAAATCATAAATTACAAAAGTCACATTTTTTATTGAAAAATAATTGAGATATCTAAAAAAAACTTTTTAAAATGCTAATTTTATACTTTTAGAAGATGTATCTATTTTGGATGATAACAATAGATAAAAAAAGAAGAAAAAAAGAGAGAGAGATACGAAAATGTAAAATGTGGCATATCATACGAAGAGGGAAAAAGTAGAAGGTTAAATTGTACTTTTTGCTTCTATTTATGTTTATTCGCGAATTTGGTCTCTTTATACAAAAGTAAAAACTTTTAATTTCTCTAATTTTAAAAATATACAATTTTGATTTTATCATTAACTTAATATCTGTTGACTGTCGAATTTTAACACCTACACATGATATATAACAACTTAAATGACAAAATGTTTACAACTAAAAAATTTAAAATATATAAATGAGATTTAATAATGAAATAAAAATCATTCTTGATTTAAACTAAATACACATAAAAGTAGTTTGTGCATTTTATTTTTGGTTATTGTTTATCTCTAAATATCGCATCACTAAATGTAACATGACTTAGAGAGATTATGAATTAATATTAAATTTTAACGTTTAACAAAAACTAAATTGATTGTGGGACCAAAATTTCATATTTTTAAATCATCCAATCTTTAACAGGATAAATCGAATTTTGAAATTAAACTATTCTATTTCTTTTTTGAAAAAAAAATAGCTAATTAATTAGTTACATTCAAATAAGGAAGTCTAGGTGATGCGAGGCTGAAACATAGGGTTGGAGTGATAAAGAGAGGTTAATTTGAAATCACCCGAGCTAACATAACTTACTAAATATTGCCAAAATTTGGTGATAAAAAAGTAGTTATATTCAAATGAGTATAAAATCATTTAATTGCCTTCTTCCATAAACATAGTTCTTTATTTTCATAAAATATATATTTTTAATAATATGTTATGTATTTAACTTTACATTAAACCACTAAGGATAATATGCATGATATTTTACATGGTGACACTTCACATAATTTTTCATTGATTAGAATTCTTTACCGATCAGAACCCTCTGTGAATAATCCTTTATAAGATGTTAGACCACCTCTAGGATCAACAACTGTTCCCACAAATGAAGACAAGACTTTTCAACATGTTTTATCTCCAAGCATAGACTTTCTGGGTAACTTCCTAAGAGGTCACTCATCCCTAAATTGTTACAAGTAAAACATAATTAACTATGAAGTGCTTTTGTAATGAACTATCGAAAAATATATGCATCTTATTGATATAGATAGTACTAATTAAGTTTTTAAGTCATTCTTACCTATAGAGTCTCGCAACTATATACATCTCTAGATTCCTCTCATTATGGCATATTTAGGTTGTTACAGAAGTTTGATACTTGGCTCAAATATTAAATCGTTATATTTACAACCAAAAAAGGGAGAGAGAGAAAGAATTGTCCTTATGGTAACATTGACCTCATTATATTACAATTTTCCCTATTTCACAATTGAAATTTTTATGGCTCTACTCAATGGCATTGGATAATGATAAAATAAAAATTATAATAACTTATATGTTTTTCTTTTACTTTTATTTTTATTTTAATTAATAACAGTCAATATTCAATATCTTTTAATTTTTCTTTAATAAATTATATTTTTTTTGAGTAATAATTTGTGTTAAGGTTGCATCTTAAGTTAAATGTTTTTTTTAGAATGTAAATATTGAAAGCTTGAAAGAATATATGAATAATTTGTGTGAAATAAAAAATCTTACTTGTTATTTGAATATTAAATTGAACAATATAAGTGAAATAATTAAAATAAATTATTTAATATTAAAATTTTAATTAAAACATAATAATAAAAATGTATTTAGAATTGTTTAATTATATTTTATTTTATTATGCTAAACTAAAATCATAAATAAAGTTTTTTAAATATGAAATGACAGGTACTTCTTTGAAATAATGTAAATAAAAAGTGGAGGGATGATCCTCTAAGATGTCTAATCATCTACGATGAAAGTTTGTTGAAAATCTCATATTAACTAAAGATAAGTTCACGATAATGTATATAAATGATAGACAATTCTTATCTTACAATAGTAGATTTTGTAATGTTGAATTATACTTTAAAATTAAAAATTAAAAGTCTAATTTCACATTATTTTCTAGTTGTTCGTGTGATAATTTTTTTACATGATTTTCACTTGTTTATAACTCTTGGATTCAAACATCAACTCAATTTTATAATTTTCATATAGGTGAATTTAATATTATAAGTTTCACATCTTAAATCAATTAAAAATTAATTTAAAATCATGTCTCAAAATTAAAAATTATTATTATTTAAAAAAAAAATAAATCAATCTAAATATAAAAGATAAAAGACCACAACTAGCTACCTCCTCTTAATAAAACAATATTTAGAACAAAAACTATCAAGAGAATCAAATTTAATCTTACCATACATTTTGATGTTTCGATCGTCTATCCAAAAAATGACTTGAATAAAGCAAAACTAAAAGGTTGAAATGCTAAATTTATTGTGAATGTTCTTATTGAATATTATTTATGAAACCATATCAGTACAACTTTAGGTTCATAAGTCTCTCCAAAAACACTAAACAACTGGAAAATTAAATTAAAATTACAACTTCATATTACATAAAACAAAAGTTTTAGTAGAAGTTGAGTTTTATAAACGAAAGCAAGAGTATGATCCAGAGAGTGGTGGCACCATTGAATGTGATGTTGGTGAATAGGATGGTTTCTTAATGTCTAATTATCAAGGAAAGGAGTAGGAGCAGGAGAGTGGTGGTGGTTGTGACGGTGGTGGTGTGGTGAGTGGGCTGGTGGGTGAATATGATAGGTGACTGGAGTTTTCTCAATAGAAAGAGGAATGGAAGGTGGAGAGCTGTGGTGATGTGGTGGGTAAGCTTTGTGGTGGGTAGGAGGGTGAACTGGCTCCTTTATTAAAGGGATGGGAGCATGAGCAGGAGAACGGTGGTGGTGATGGCGGCGGTGGTGGTGTGGTGGGTGAGCTTGTTGGTGGCTAGGAGGGTGATGGTGGTTGTAATGTGGAGGGTGAGTTGGTTGGTGAGTAGGAGAGTGGACATGTGGCTTTGTTAAAGAACTAGGAGCATGAGCTAGAGAATGATGGTAGTGGTGGTTGTAATGTGGTGGGAGAGTTGGCTGACGAGTAGGAGAGTGAACATGTGGCTTTTTTAAAGAACTAGGAGCATGAGCAGGAGAATGATGGTGGTGATGGTGGTGGTGGTGGTGGTGGTGATGTGGTGGAGTTGCAATTGGAGAATGAACTCGCGTGTGTAGAGAAGTTTCAAGCTCTTGGGCAAATACAGTAAAAGAGCTCACTAAGAACAAGAATAATGTTAGAAATTTGGCCATTGCTCTTTCTAGTGTTTTTTAGTGAGAGAAAGATGTTGGTGTAATGTGAAGCCTTAGATAAGACTCTAATTTATAGAAGCAAAAATTAACACTTATTCTAATTTTTAGTGAAATAAAATTAAATGGAAAATCCATTTTGCCCATCATTTAAATGGAAATTTCAATGTTGATTACAAAAAGTGGAAATTGTTTATGTGATATGGTTGACATTTAAAATAGTGATTAAGGAAGCTAATTAAATTTACAAATAAAAATAAGAAATGATAAATTATTTAGGAAAATGCTTATAATAATAAAATAATTTTTTTGTAAATGTGATATACTAACAAGGTGAAATTCTGGATTGGTAGATTGATTTATTCAGTAAAAATCTCTTATGGATTTCATAATATTGACCTTTATATTTAAAATCTCAAATAGATTTTGAGAATGTTGACTTTTATATTTTACTATTTTATTAAAATCAAAATTTAATAATGTCCATTTAAGTTCAAATATTATTAGATATAATATCTTTTTCATAAGTTAAACTGTTTTTTTAGTGCAATCACCTAATTAATGAATTTAGACTAGTATTGTTTTATTTTTAATGTTAGAAATCATGTTTTTTTTTGGTGTTGCGAAATCATGTTTTAATACAATCATTTGATCTTTAACGAGATAAATCGGATTTTGAAATTAAACTATTCAATTTCCTTTTGGAAAAAAATGTAATTATTAGTTATATTCAAATAAAGTGGTATAGGTAATGTGCGAGTGGGATATAGGATTGGAGGAATAAAGAGAGATTAAGTTTGCATCTCCCCAAGTAACAAATTATTAATTACTAATATTTGGTGATAAAAAAAGTAATTATATTCAAATAAGTATTGATTAATTTAATTGTCTTCCCTGTGATGACATTGACCTCGTTATATTATAGTTTTCCCTATTTTACAATTGTAATTTTTATGACTCTAGTTAATAGTATTGGATCACTACTAGAAGGATTGTATTCTAAGTCGGTTATTTTGCTATATCTACATCGGTTTTAAAACCGACTTAGATAAGGCCGTCGTAGATGAATGAACATATCTACGTCGGTTACGTAAAAATCGACTTATATATACATTTAAGTCAGTTTTTACAAAACTCTCTTAGATGTGCACATACATCTAAGTCGATTTTTATCAAAACTGACTTAGATGTATATATACACATCTAAGACGGTTTTTCCTTAGAACCGCTGTAGATTGTGCTTTTTTTAACCTGGTTAATTTTTAAAATAAAACTGATTCAATTATAAATAAACTGCAAAAACTGATTCAATTATCCAATGCAAGAGAAACCAACAGAGACCAATTTGGGATCGTTATCATTATAGAAATGGCTCAATTACATCATTATATAATATATAAAATACTAAAAAAAAAAAATACTTGGAAACCAAGAGAGACTAATCTAGTATCCATAAAGAAGAGTTTTTCTCTTACAAGGAGAAGAGAAGATCAAAAAATTAGGTCACACTACATTAGACATGTACTGGGCAGCCTACTACTGAAACCACATTCACCTATTTCTAAATTTTACATGTAATACTAGACCTTTCAACATGATCTATTTTTAAATTTTTCTAAAAAAAAATTTCCCCAATGAATCTGAATGTCTTCCAATTTGGTTTCCCCCAATGGTGTAGCATCTTCAAAAAGCTGCAACATATATACATCATATATTAGTTACATCATAAAAAGCATTAAAAGAAATTAACAATATTTTTAAATGTACCTCACTCCAACCATTTGTTACTCCCCCTTCAATTATTTCTGACATCCAATTCATGACATAGTATCCACATTCATAATGTTCTTGTTGTTTATAACTCTAAAATGAACACCAAATAAAGTAGTATAAATAGTTTTGTTTAATTAAGGTAATAAAAGAATTTCTTAGACACATTGACTTTAATTACGAACCACTTACTTACCATGGGGTAAATCCATTCTAAGTTCTTTGACAGTGCAGTAGATATACCACTCATGACATTATACACAGCCATAACACTAAAGAAAAAAATGAGCGTAAGTTACATAATTAAAATTTCATAATAAAGAGCATAAAAGTAAAAAACGTATTACAAATTAAAGTTTACCTTTTAACTAAATGTTTGACATGTATAGTGGGCTTATGATGCAAAGAACAAAACCATACAGCAACATTACTCATAGGACAAAGAACCAACAGCTGCCAATGATTTCTACATTGAGCCAAAATTAGTTAAACAATATATATATAAATTACATAAATTAAATGCAATAAGAAACATGTACTTACTGATCAATGTAAGGAGCCAAGTAAATTTGCTTCTGGGAGTTCTTTATCCTATCATTTATATAATTTATAGCCTCTTCTTTCTTATTCCCCGATTTTTGTATGGATTGGGGCTCCAAAAATCCATACAAGTCATCATAGCCATGCTCTTCAATTTTTTGATTTAGATAACTAAAATTTATAAAAGAAAAGTAATTTAGAATGAATCATAATTAATTAATTAAATATTGATACTAATAAGAATTGTGTACTTACAACATCCAAAATTGTATGATGGAGATGTTAAGCATTTTTCGTTCTATTAATTCACGTACATCATCAAATGTAGTATAGAACACAAAATCATTAGCACCAACATCAAATAGACTTCCAGGACATATCACCTGAAATGGTCAAGTTGGATAAGTAACCAACCTAAAACAAAAAAAAGTTAAATAGTCTTTATATAAGTCAGACAAAGTCACCTTAAATGGGTTGCCATAAGTTAAAGTCAATGATGCCTCACGCAAATCACATATAGGATCATTACTGGGTTTGGACCTATGAACTGTTGGAATATCTTGTGTTTTCTTAGATGATGAAATAAGTCTCACAAGACGTCTTGGCCATGAAATGAAAGTCTGTAGGGCCTGTCCAACCAGTTGAACCTCTGAAGTAGGCATAGGAACATGAGCATCAAAATCTCGAACAAACTCAACAACCACCTTGACCAAATCAGCTGTTAGAGGTACATGGTGTATGGTTGAACTACCCTCATAAACTCTACCAATGGCCACTACACGAGGTGGTATATCATCAATGCATAACTCACATAGATGAGAGATATCAACATGAGGCTTATCCCCTAATGCATTACCAGCCACAGCAGTAGCACTTGAAGGAGTTGGACAACTACCTTTACTACTACCAGGGACCATATCTACTTGAACTAGAGGAACATCCTATGTCTGTGTATTACTGATATCATTTTTCTTGAGTTGTGCAACAACTTGCTGTGTGAGGAGTTCCAAATCCTTGGGAGTTAATTTAGCTATGGATAATACATGTGACTGGCATCGTCCAAAGTACTGACTAATAGTAGTACCAACACCAGCTGCACGAACACGACCAGGATGCTCTAGTCGTCCAAGGGCAGTATTCAATATATCTTGACGCCCTTCGGGAACAAAAGAACCCTGTGATGCTTGCTCATCCAACTCATTCTACAATAAACAAATTTAGTTTACAATATATCGTAGAATAAAAAATTTGAGCAAATAGTTAAATAGTTTTATTTTATAAAAAGACATAATTTTTTTCAGCAATTTGGTTAGCTGACTCAAAACTCATTTCGCCTGAACTTTTTGTGCGAGCCATCACCCATAACTTATGACGTGGAAGAGGAGGTGGAGGATCAATAACTACATCCTGACTAGCACCAGACTGTATTGCTTCTTCCTTTAGTCTCTTTAGTTCATTTTTAGAATAATTTGTCACTAAGAGATCATAACCCCCACGAGATAATAGGTGAGGGGCATCATTATGTTGCTGGATAGCCTGTGCTTTTTCTCTTATAGCCTGCAATAATTGAATAACACCAAAAAATAATGAGAAAATACTCGTGTTGTATTATAAATTTTAAAAATAATAAACACAGTTTACCTGCCATTTAGGGTCATTCCTGATTTGTTTGAATTTTTCCCAGTCTTCAGGGTCGATGTTATACTTATCACAAGGACTATTACCTTTCTGTTTCCCATTTATCCAAACCCTGGTAAGAAAAGACTTATATTGCCTAAATCTTGTAGAAACATGTTGAAGAATTTTTATCCTCAATATAGCATTATCCTCAATCTGATACACTTCCTACAAAACAAATTTAAATTGAAAAATTAATAATGATAAATTTAAACTAATCATACAAAGTTGTCAAATAATGATATACTGTCAAATGATGTAAAGGTAATGGAAATACCAAAATATCCTGCCAAATCAAATCCTTAGTAGCCTGTGGGACTTCTTTCCAAGAAGGAACTAAAATGTTAATCTTGTCTCGAGCAAGGGTTCCTAAATAACTTGCAAATTGAACACTGTTTGGCCCTGAAGTTGTCCCAGTATTAAGATCCACATCAATTTCTATTTTTTGTCCCTTCATGCGTTTAAGGTCTACACTTTTCAACCGTGTTTTTTTTTCCTAGGTATAGCCTCTAAAGTAGGGAGTGTAGGATCAGAGGAGTCTTCAGGAGTATCCATGTGTCTGTTTTGACAAAAAAAAGAAGCAAGGTCAATTAAAAAAAAGTAATAAAAATTAAATTAAAACATGAAAAAATTATGAATAGAATATTAAAATCTACAAGATAAACATAACTTATGTGTGACAATTAGATAGTAATGTTTTCCCATATGCCTTCATCATGATCATTACGAATGGCATGAACGTCATCTTGCTCAATTTCTTCATTGTTAGTAGCCATACATGTTGAGAATGAAAGGCTCTCCCAAAACTCAATTGTTGAATCATCAACATTGTACACACTTCTACCTTGGAGAACAATGGACCACCTTTCATCAATGGGATCTTTGACATAAAATACCTGTGTAGCTTGGTTTGCCATGATAAAAGGTTCTTCTTTATGACCCACCTTGCTAAAGTTTACCATCGTAAATCCCATTTCATCAGTTCACACACCTGTGTTAATATCAACCCACTTGCA